TGCCTGGGGTATACAGGTAACAATCATGGGAGGAAAATACAGAAAAAAAAATTTTATGTAGAGAAGCATTTCTGTTGTGTGGCTATGTCCAGTGAGGAGCTTTCCTGGGCTATGTTGCAGCAGATATTACAGAAAGTGACCGTGGAAGTAACAATTCTCTTGTGCATCATTGTTATGTGGCTAGCAGTTGTTCTTCCTGAGGTGTGGAGGATTCATGATCTCTTTAGTTTTCACAGTTCTCAGAAAGAAATGCCCTTCAGGTAACAGCTTGGAGAGGAGGTCAGACAAGTGAGAAAGCTTCTTCCTCAAGACCTTGCTTGTACAGGCAGAAAAAAATCATGTACTTGACAATGCCTTTTCCGAGAGAAGGTGAGCAATTTACCAAAAATATCCCTAACATCATAGTTTGCGAATTGCTCCGGTAAGGCACAAGGAAAAATGGCTTATTTTGACTTGTTATTTAACCTAGCTCCAAATCCAAATCCTTCCAAAGTAGCTGACAGTGCATACTTCCCCACAAGAGATATGCAGACCCCTTACTGAAATCCCATAAAGTGAAGGACCTCTGTCCATGGAATTTTCATCCTATAGGCTTTCCATAGTTACAGCTATGACTGAGGTCATCACTGGACTTTATGAATTGTACGTTTTCTCTTGTAGCTTGCAAAGATGTGTCCTTATTCTGATTTTCTGCATTTGCAGAGACAAAAACAAGGGAGGTGTGTTTGGGGACTGAGACCAGATGAGTGTTGATGGAGCTTATTGGAATAACCAGTGCAGATACAAGGGAAAAATGTAGAAGAATTGGAAAACAAACTGTCTGATTGAGAGAAGTGGGTCTAAGGATGGAGGAGCCAGAAATGAAATTGGTACTTTGAGAACAAGTCCACAGGGATAGATTAAGTTTTGTTCAATTGACAGGTAAATAACTGGAGCAGGCTGGGAATAGGGAGGCAATAAAAATGAGGCAGAGATGAGGAGCCAGGAGTGGAGAAGAGGAATGTCTGAGTCAAGGTTTTCTGTGGTGGGATAGAACAGAAGGCCCCAAGCTCTGAAGGGAAGCAAGCACGAGGGCCTATACCTACTCAAGGATGCTTCCCTTGAAGGCTAAGATGGAGCCTAAAATCCCAAGTTTTACTGTTTCTTTGCTGTCAGTAAAAGTGTCAGCACTAGGTTATAGAGACCTATATTCATGGTATCTAAATGTAGCATCTATCTACATGTGAGGTGGGAGTTTAAGTTCCCATCGCAGTCAGAGAAGATTTTAGGGAAGGATTCAGCTGCCTAGGTATCTGGATCTGCATCCACTTATGATGCCGTAGAAAATTCCTCAGGGTTCCCTAAGGTACCCAAATGACGGTAGGCACCCACTTTCAGGCAACTGTGCTCCACCTGTGCTCAACTCAGTCCCAGGAGTCCAGAGAGATACTCAAATGCAGACTGTGCACAAGATGAGGCACAGGCTCACATAAATGCTTGCATATAGATAACTAAATGCAAGTGTCTATGTCTGCAGTCTGCACCTGAGTGCCAGACAGAATGTCTTAGCATTCACTAATGTTTGGCCATAGAATTGATGATAATGTGCTTTTGCTGTAGGTTGCTGTCCTGATTCAAGTGACAGAGAACAAGAGTCTGCAACTCCCTGGTACAGAACATGGGGAAGGAAGGAGAGGAGTGTGTTGCTCCACAGGGAACTCCTTTGTTCTTCTGTCAGCTCTTTCAAATCCCAGAAAATCAGACAGAGACATATGTCCAAAGCCTGGGTGCCCTGCCAGCCAAGCCGTGCTGGGGAATACCAGAATTAAAATTTTCTCCTTTGCTGCACAACCTTGGTTCCTCCCCAGAGCAGGTGCATCCTGTGAGGAAGAACAGAGAGTGCATCATGTGACTGAAAACAACAGCAGGATGCAAGCACAAGGAACTGAGTTCAGGCTGCACCAACATCTTTAATTCCAGCATTGCCTCACAAGGCAGTGGCTTGGATTTTCTGCTTTAATACTACTTTTCCCCCTATTCTGGTCCCATATGCCTTGTATGTTTATAGTGTCTTCATGAAATCTGTTTAGAAAATTGTATGTGTGAAGCAAGCAATGCAATAGTGATGATGGAGTAACCTGTGGAGAATGGGAAGCTTACTGTCATCATTCAACTCTTGTGCCAAAATCAATCTCCAACTGACTCAGCAGTAAACGGGTATTTGATTTTTCTGTCTAAGGAGTCAAAGGCAGCTTTGACAAAGGCACTTGGATAATTCACTTTTTAGATATAGCAGTTAAAGGGCCTTATTCTTGGAGGCCAGGATAGCTGGGCTGGATCTTTAAATGTGATGGGGTGCGCTAGTAGCATGATGAAACTGTTTTCTGAGCTGAAGGCATGTAAGTAAGTAATAAAGCAAAGCTCTCTGCTTTCTGTGTTATTCTAGTCTTTTGGGATCTCCAGGAGCTTATATGGATGAGAAATCACTTCTGTGGAGGAACATGACATGAAAATAATGCTGACTAAACAGGAAAGTCTTAAGAGATGGAGGGGGAAAATCTTTATCTGTCAGTGAGGAAGTAAATCTCTTTTAGGGTCCATTTACTTCCAGATTTTGCTTAATCTTGGTGTTTCTCAGACTTGAAGAAATGCAAGAGCCAGGGGAGGGAGACTGGGCCACTCCTGTGTAACTCCTTCATCTTGCCCCTTGCTTTTTAGCAATGTGTAGAGCTCCTCTCTTGCTTTTTCTCCATCTATTGAAACACCTTACAAGAAGTTCCAAATAGGCTTTCTTATGCAGAAGTGGGAAGATTTAGGCTCATCTATACTGAATATTTATAGCCCATGTAAGCTTTCTGAGTATTACTGTCATGTCTACCTTAGGACATCTTGGACCTAGAGACTTTCTTCATCTCTGGTGAAGTGACCACGCTTATTCTCCCTGGGTTTTCTGGCATAGTTACAGAACACGAAACAAGCAGTTCCTCCTCTTGGGATCCATACTCTTGTTACACTCAAAAGAAAATGAGTCACCAAAGAAGTAGCTGTGGTGTTGTTTGATTATATTCTGAAGTTCATGTTTCCTGTGGCTTCTGCACGTGGATTCTCTTCATGTTTGTTCTCCCATGAGGGCAAGATGCTTGTGTTCTTTACAAAAGCAAGCTGTCATTCCCACTCAGTAGAGGACAAGAGGCAACAGGCACAAATTGAAACACATGGAATTACACTTGAATGCAGGGATACGCTTTTTTACTGCGTGGGTGGTCAAATGTGGGAACTGGTTGGCCAAAGGTGTTGCAGAGTCTCCATCTGTGGAAGTATTCAAAAGCCATCAGGTTGGCCACATGGTCCTGGGCAACCTGCTTGAGCAGTGGGGTAGGACAGGAGGATCTCAAGCGTTGCCTATTCTGTGACTCAGGAGTTGCAGATTCTAGAAAATGAAAAGTGCCTTTTGCAGCTGGCAGCAGAGCTGTCTCATTCAGCATGCTTGGAAGCAGAGTGCCACTGCTTCAGGAGCTGAATGAGGTGGCATTTTCTCTAGTCGCAGCCTACCAGTATGGTCCTTCTCACATAATTTCTCATGTCAGGCCAGGTGCTCTCCTTCCCCTTTCTGTGTCCTGTGAACACCTACACCTGGAAAACATCATACCTGGGATGCTGGCATGCTATTTTCGAATTTGTTGTGCTTTTGAAGCAGCAGCATCACCTCTTTGTACCTTCCTCTCCACCTCACTGATAACTGCTGTTACATGGCAGTGTAACTTGTTTTCCTGACAGAGAGGGACTTGTTCTCAAAATCTAGCCTGCAGCCTCTTACAACAATGGTAACAGTGATACTGATGATTAATTCCTTTCCTTCCTGATAGAATTAGATGTGCCATGTCATTCAAGCAGACCTTGCAATACCTGTAGAATACTATAAAAGTAGGTACAGTACATGTAGGGCCTGAATGTTTTAAAAACAGACAATGAACATTTTAGCATTCATGCATAAAAATGTTTTATTGTAGTGAAGTTACACGGGAGAAAAACAAAAGCCTCCCTGCTCCTGGTTCAAGGCTATGCTGAGCCATAAAAGGACAGCTAAGTGCTAGCCAAAACAAGTTCCTACATGTAAAAATACATTGCACTTCCAGTCAATTTTACAAGGTTATAAGGAGACTACCTCTTATTTTCCTTTCCTTTGTGTTTTGTTTTGGGTTTTTTTTAATGAGCTGTAGCTTTAACTATTTAAAGCTGGAATCCAGAATGTTTCCTTACAGGAGTTTTTGTTGTTTGGGGTTTTTTTCTCCTTATAAAACCAAACCTGAAGATGCTCTTTCTTTCTTCCTGCTTAGCCTGTCCAGTTTGTTTAGACTAAACACACCTTAGGCCCCATGGGGTTTACTTGATACATCCCCATAATGACCCTCTAAACCCAGGCTTGGTATACAACGCTAATGCTGGTTAGTGGTCAGTTCATACTCATCACTGGCAAGCAGGAAGAGGGAATTGCAGCAGGTATAGGGGGTTTATGGAAGAGTGCTGAAGTGGCTTTGATGGTAGAACAGCTCTTCCCCAGTTCTTAATGCAGAAGCCCACTTCTTAATGGAGACAATCAGCAAAGCATTGCATCAGCCTGGCACACACACATGACAAATGGCATGGAGTCTGTGACTATACGAAAAAGAAAAGGATGGTGGGACAGGTTTCGGACCTGCCAACCTTTTAATTTTCCTTTCAGGGATACAAATACAACACTCTATGAACTAATAACTAGTTTTCCCACACAACAGGTTATGTACAGCACATTGACTTACATTTTTACATAATACACAGGTCTTCCCCACCACCACCTCTTGTGATGAAAGAATATGACATGTCAAGCTGACAGACACTTCAAGAGAGCCTCAAGGAAAAAAAAAGTTCATGCAGAGTTAGCTTATTCTTGGTCTCTTGAAAGTAAATCTTACAAAGAATGAGCAAGATGTCTGTTTTTACAGTATTTACTTCGTACAGTACAAAGAGGAGGGATAGGCTTTTTAAACGTAGGATTCCTTGGCATACTGGATCTGGTCTACCTCAAAAACTGGCTGGCTGCACCTCCGAGCCACGTACTCCAGTTTGTTCTTTTGACAGGACTCAGACATGGCTCTCAATCGGTAGACTCCCGGGGTCACAGGTAAACTCACACGGGAATTTATTCCCACAGTGACGCTGATGGTTTCAGTTTCCACGTCAGAATTCTTCACTGCAGAAACTCTGTCACGGGGTAGTTCCCTTAAAGACATACATGCTGCGTCCTGGGCACAGCTGCTGCTTGGATGAGGCAGCAAAGTGTCCTGGTTTGACATTTTTAGTCTCATAGTTTGAACCGTAAGATTGTGGAAGGGAACCTTAGTGGCCAGGCAGTTTTTAGTAGCCTCTTCATAAGAGGGTGGTCTTCCAGGATTCCTCTGGTCTACCTCTCTGAACACTTCATCAACTGACCTGAAACGGGGCCTTGGCTGGTGCTCCACAGGCAATGGTTTGTCATCGTCAGGGCTGTTCTCCTGGACAACCCTGCAGGAGAACTGTTCTTTCTTTGTGAAACCGTCTCTCTGAAAAAACATGTTTTTTCCAGGCCCCCAACTCTGGGTTTTTATTAGTGTTTTCCTGCGGTTTGCAAAAGAGAATGACATGGAATGCTTTTTGATCTCTCTGCTAGGCATACTGCAGTCTTCAGTGGCCTTGGTGGAGAAGGACTGCGGCCTATTTAGAAAGGTTCTTTTGGGACTAGAGGGTGAAACTACTGGGGAGCTGGTGAAAACTGAGCCATCAGAGCTCTCCAGGGAGCAACTGGAGGATGTATTTGGTAGAGAGTCAGTTGATAATTGTGAAGGTAAGATTGCAAGGCGTTTCTCCAGTGTCTCCAAACCTAGCTGTTTCTGCTGAACTGGAAAATTGTCCTCACTTTTGTTTAGCTTCTGATTCCTTATCCTGCCTTCAAGGCACCTCTGGAAGGACAGGTCTGGTTCTGAGTACCTCCTGTCCATCATGCTGATGTCATCTCTGAAATTAGTCAGTGAAGAACCAGAGGTGTGTGTTGGGTATCTTCTGCTAACACTAGTGCTCCTCCCTTTGGGCTGCTCCAACTGAGAGGTATTAGGGCTGCATTCAGCTTCAGGATCTGGGCTGTCATAGGCAGAGTCATTCTGATGAGCAGCACATAGGTATTCTGTAGGGAGAGAGCACCTGTTAGTTTTCACTGATCATCTGAGGATGAAAGGGAATTACATAGCGAAAGAGTTCCTGTAGAAGAGCACTGGAACAACGTCTTGAGCCCTCTACAACTGTGTTTCCACAGATGTATTCCTATATCAAATTAAATAACTTAGCCCAGCAGCCCCAGTTTGTGACATCCCCCA